CTTCCTCCCCAGCAAACCATATTGCCGCGCCTTCCAACTGTCTCCTCCTGACGCAATATATCGATTAATTGCGTCCCCTTTGCACATTTTCTCTCAACTGTCGAGCACATACGGCTTCTTCCGCAAATTTGGCTATTTACTAGTAAAACTTATTATACTTGTATTTCTTGGATATACTTATACCATTTTTTAATTATTATTATATTATTATTATTATTATTATTATTATTATTTTATTATTGATTATTATGCTTTTACGCATGTAAAATTGTGCTCACGTTACCCATACAGAACTCCCACACTTTATTTTTTCAACTGGTTTCTAACGTCGACCACCTTTCCACTCTCGGCCCCTTTTATTTATATTTAATTGCAACGTGTCATAAGACTTCTTTTGTTCCTTTACCCGTAATCATATTTACTTTGTGATGGTCACTATATCTAGCACGAGGGAATAAGACATCACGATTCTTCGAGATACAGGTAAAATTGGCTCCTTGTGAAGCAGTTCGCCCATAGACGACTCGTCTTTTCAGAACATCAAGCGCGCCTCTTGACTCAAGCTACCGACAAAATAGTGCAATTCGAGCATCTTCAAACCTTTAAGATTTAGATTTTAGATCTTATCAGACCTTTCAAAAAACAGAAAAATGTAATGTGAAAGAGGAGGAAAAATATATAGATTATATATATATAGATTAGATATATATTTACCAAATCAATTTTAATTAATATCTAATAATATGAAACTTGAAGTAAAAGTTAAACATAAATTAAAATTTAAAAATAAATCTTTTAATCGCAAGATTAGCAATATTTTTGAAAATAGTCCAATTTTTTCGCTTAAAAACTACAAACTGTAATAACCGTATAAACGAATTAAATATATAGACTGTGAAAATAATATCCAAGGGTGGCGAAAATATACAAACCAAAAATAAATAAACACCAACTCCTGATTCGCCACAAGAAAAAGAAATATAGAATTATCTGGCAGAGAAGCAGAAATACGTATATTTCGCAGTTATTTATACTACACGTGAAGACAAAAAAACCTTCCCTCAAAACCTATTATACAAACTATTAATTACTGCACAGATTGATATGCTTTTTCTTTGTAGCGCCATAACATTCAAACTTGGCACGATAATATATAGACATTTATGATTCATAAATAGAATAGATAGTAACAATGACATTCACGATAAAATAACAAAAACTGCATCTTTTGAAGTTGTCATTCTAGAAACACATTTAATTCCACTTCAAATTGCCAAACTTCAATCAGTTACCCCTGTTGCAAGGTTTCAAGTGATATTACAAGTCGTTTACTTCGTATTTATAAATTTATACCCATTAAAATTTATTTATTTATAATTTTATATTTATATTGTTATAGTTATATTTATATTTATATTTAATAATTTATATTTGATATATATTATATTTATTATATAATATATATATATATATATATCTTTTATTTATATTTATATTATATGCTATATATTCTAATATTATATTTAATATTTATATTAGATTTATATTAATAATATTCATATATTTATATTTCATATTTATATTTTATTTATATTCATACTATTTATACTGTAGTATTATATTTATAGTATTATAATTTATATTAATCATTACGTATTTTGTATTTAGCTGGTTCATTAGCAACAGATATACATTTTCTACCACGTCGGTTTTACAAAGGCTAAGTTTTGATAATTATAGATAAGGATATATAGAAGAGTAATAAACCGAACTCTTTCAGGAAGTATAATAATATAATATAAAGCAGTCGAATTAATACCCATACCGTCTGGCCCCACGCAAGACATTACCAAATGGAAGAGATAATAGAGGTAGAGAGATAGATATAGATAGAGAACGGCGTCTTCGTTGTCGAAGAGAGAGAGAACAAAAGGAGGAGGTTGGCGGGCGACGCAGTAGCCTCGGGCGTCCTCGGCGCGCTCCACCCGCCGCCGGCTTTGGCCGCCGCCACAACCCGCCCTTGGGCAGATTGGCGTGGCAAGTCGTCGACGTTGCAAGACAGGCGCTCCGTGACGAGGGCGAAGGGCGACAGCGGCGCAGGGCCGCTGTCCACGCAAGTAGAAGGGCGTCTGCTCGTACCTGCAAAACCAAACACCGGAAATCACATCGAATTACGATCGCTGGTCTGTAGGGGAATTCTAGCGGCCGGGCTGCTCTGATCGGTAGTTTCGGTAAGTAACTTTGAACATCGCAGTTAGAAACGGTCGCTCGAAGCTGCAAACCAAAAACCAAAAACCCTTCGAATTACGTCGCTGACTGCAGGCAGAATTCCAACGGACGGGTTACTCTAAATCGGTAGGTTTTCCCTCCTTACAACACAAGGCGAATGCCTTGGAGAGACAACTAAGCAAACGGGCACGAAACTACGCACGCAGTGAAGAGATGAAAAGGTCGCCCCCAGACCTTAAATCGTTGACCCCTGTTGAGGTTCTTTGCGTTTCAGCCGAGGCCGGTGGCCGATTCTCTGGGCAAAGAGGAGGGACTTGTTCCTGGCGCATGTGAGTAGCCCATTTCCTAGCCATCAACTTCACAGGATCTAATTAATCACTTTTGTTTTAGGTAGTGAGTGTTTAAAGAGAGTTGCAACCAACTATTTTATTTACATAATAGGCACTTTTGAACCTCGGACGGTTAATAAGCTTTTAAAGCGCCCACATATGGGCATGCAACAATACCATACCAATATTGGGCCATAACCACGGTCAATTTTTGAAGGGGAGGCACTTCGCAAAATAGTGATTATTGGGCTTTCAATAAAAAATAGAAGTATTAACTGACTCCCAAGGACTAGCTGGACTATCGAAGAGCTGAGTGTTTGGTAAGAGTTAAATGACTAATCCCTCAGCATTGAATGCAGGCAGGACTTAAGGGGACGGGGTCAATTGCGTTCCTGGTGCCCACCCACGTTCTTCAGGCCTAATGTACGCTCTATTTGAAATATTATTTAGCTGAATTGAGCCTAACGCGCGAGATGCCCCCCTGGAGTAAATTCCCCCTCGTTAAGCACAGGTGCACTCCAGTCACTACACTCGCGTCGCGCATCAATAACTTACCTCTACACACACCCTCTTTCATTTCCCAATCCTCACCACCACCCACGAGTCCTAACACTCCGCACAGACGCCATCATCGATGCCGGGACAACCGATGGGATGCGAAACTCAGACACAAACTGTTTTCCCGGCTTAGCACGGCCGGATGCCCCGTTGGGTGGGAGTATCCTCGTTGAAGAAAACTCCCTCAAGCAACGGGTAGAAGCCGGTCTCGCCATCCACAGAGGAGAATAAACTCAAAAACCGCGATGAATACGTGCACTAATGACGGGACGTTGCAGTTGACAGCGCCCGGAATGACTAATTCAATCAGTCGGATCTCAGAAGCACGTCACATACCATCGCAATCGTGGCTCAAGGGCAACGAGAGTCGCGCACCGGCGTGCCTATGGAAAGAGACGTCTAGGGTTCGGTGCTGATGCTGGCATGCTGGTGAAAGTTAGTGAAAATGCTTGAAATCCGATGTATTCTGGTCATGCCAGCGCAGGGTGGAAATATCACACGCCACCTCGCGCAATGAAAAATGTGGCCCACTATTTGCGGAAGTAAGGTCACAACAGATGAACCCAGGAACACTATATTCACAGGATTTCCGATAACAATACCGTCAACGATCGACCTGTCGACTGGGTCCGCGATGCGGTTAACGGTTCCAGGAAATCAAACTAATCAATCAATCCCATCGTCAACAGTGCCGCCACGATTCGATCGCTGCGAGTCCGGAATGCGGTTAACGGTCCCGGAACTACTAATCACCATCAGACCCGTCACAGTAGCGTTACGTTTCGACTTCCGACATGAGGTTGCGGGCCCCGGAAGCACTAATGCAATCAATCAAACCGACACATTCGCCACGATTTCGCACCTGTGAAGTAGTTCGGGATGCGGATTAACGCCCCCGGAATCACTACTCAATCAATCATCAATCATAACTGACACATACCGCCACGATTCGAGCCTGCGGCAGCTGCGGCGGGTCCGGAATGCCCATGACGAAGGTGCCTCCTCCCCTGGCGAGACGACGCGGCCCACGCGCGTCGCTGACGGAGTCGTCGAGCAGCTTCCCGCGCCCGCCTGCCTTCGCCGCCTCCACCACTCGAGACGAAGGCCTGCAACGGGCCGCGCACGGCGCGCCAGGCGTTCGCTCCACGACCGACGAGGCGACCTTGCGGTATGCGGCGTGCTCACACCGCCACAGCGCTCGGGCGACAGGACCCCGCAGTACAACCGGCCAGAGCAGCGCGCAACCCCAGGACGAAGGGCGCGCGTCCGCATCGCCAGCTGCAGGCCCTGCCCGTTGAGTCAGCCGCCACGCGGCGCGCCGTCCCGCGGCCAGGGCGCCGCCACGCACCGACCCCGCCGTCCGCCCGACAGCACTTGAAGGTGTCGGCAAGCACTTGTGGATCCACAGCTTCTTCTCCGCGCCCCGGACACAGCGCGCGGAGCAGAAAAGCAGCCAAGAACGACGCAATGGCTGTGAGGGGAGGTCTGTGCTTGTCGTGGTTGTTGCGTGAAGCGAACGCAACGGAGAGTGATGGGCGGTCCAGGTACGATGATCCTCTTCGGTGAGTGAGCCGTCGGGAGGTGACTGAGGCCGGGTGATGCAGCGTTGGCCTCTTGCAGATTGCTGTTCTCTTAAAATAGTATTACGCGGGGGTTTCTCAGCGGGTGGGAGCGGGGCTGGTGAGGCCGGCCTCTCTTCAACAGACATCTGCCTGATTGTGGGTGATTCGTTCAGCGGGTCGAGGCGGCGCTGTCGTCCCTTGAAGTTTCGTAGCCCTCTTTAACAGACACATGTGCGTGGATCGTGGGTGATTAGTCAGCGTGGTGAGCCGTCGTAACGGAGGCGGTGGTGATGGCGGCGCTTGTCGTCTTCAATGTAGTTCGTCAGCCCTCATCAACAGAAGCGATCTGCCTGAATCGCGGGTGGATTCGCAGCGGGTGGCCGTTCGCACGAGCTTGAGGTGAGTGGCGGCGCTTTCGTCTCTTGAAGCTCGTAGCACTCTTCAAAAACAAGAGCTCTGCTGATCGCGGGTGATTCGTTCAGCAGGTGGGGTAGGTGAAGCGGTCTATCGAAGCGGATGTAGGGCGGCGTTTTTCTGTCACTCTTGAAGATTTGTAGCCTTCATACCCACAGAGCAATCTGCCTGATCGCGGGTGAGCCGCCGATCGTGACTTGGAGGCGGGTGCAAGCTCTGTAACCACGCAGTCTCCTTAAGAATCTCCAACCCCTCTTGAATAAGGCACCTCCCTGAAGCGCGCGGTGATTTCTCAGAGGGGTGAGCCGTCCCGTATTAGGCGTAGACGGGTTAGGCACCGAGACTCCCGAAGTTTCTTTGAAGAACTGCGAGAGACTCACTAAATTAACCTGCTGCACGAGCATTCAACGAAACATTCACATTCAAACGTAAACTCAACGAACGGAAATTGCGGGTTCTTTGCGAGGGTTGGCTTCGTTCAATCAACTGTTCAAATTATGATCAATCAACTTATTAACTAAAAATGGTCAGAAAATACTTTTCCAGCTTCCCAGCGCACGCACGATTGTTCTTAGGACACAGATTATCACTCACGTCTTATTAAGTACGCGGTTTACGCGTTATCAAAACCAGTTTTAAAATCAGGTCAAATATTCACAAACATACGAACACAACTATGGCGTTAACTGGAGAGATATATTAGAACTCTTCCGACGGCCAACAGTGGATAATTAGAAACGGTGTGGCGACGGTGACTGTTCGCCTGCACAATTCGCTGCACCCACCTCTCACTGTGCTTCGACTGCGGGGGCGAGAATTTTCTTAACAACGTTAACACAACGATCCAAAAAGAAATTACGCGGGAAAACCGTCAGATACGTACGGGACAGTCGTGAATGCGTCCTGTTTTTTTCTGCTTAACCACGAAAGGAAGCGAAGAGGTGGTTGGCCGTCCGGCAGCGCCACCGATATGATTGGTCGGTAACGATGCGCATCTGTTTGGCCCCGCTTCTTCCTGCTGGCAACCCTTCCGTCGCCGCCTCGAAATAGGAAAGTAGAGCAAGGCGCCACTTTCGTGTTTCGCAAAGGGTCCTACATCGAAGCTGCGAGGGCCTTGTTGATTGAATAGACTTGAGTAATTATTATATCCCCGGAGCGCGTCAAACTGCTAGAGCGTCATTAGTTCTTCTAATTGTGTACGGGGAATGCTTTTCCTTGGGAGTGCGGAGTGTCTTCGAATGAGATCCTGGCGCCCTAACTGGGTTTTTCCACACCAGGAATCTAACACCTAGCGAGGCAACGCTCCAGCCGGGACAAGCTCAATACGCTCCCGACATGTGTGGTTGTGTAAGTTTAATGTTAGTGGATGTGTTTCGTAAGTAATTGGCTGAGGGTAGAACAAGGATGGGAAGAAACAATTTGCATGCCTTGTGGACGTAAGCTCCGTTTGGTAGGATACTGCTCTGGAGCATGGTCGTCTGAAGAAGAAACTACAAAAGTACGATCAGAGCTGCACATGCTGCTAGGAATTCTCCTTGCAAACGCCCATTGTAGAGTTTGTAGCTATAATCAAAAATTAACTTCCTTAAAAATTTTCAAAAAATGTGCTGATTTGAAATACTATTTGAAAACATTTCTAATGGTAATGTTCAATAAAAGAAGGTTGAAGAATACATCTTAGCGGACTACTCTGCCAAAAATCTATCTCTAAACTTAATTTGGTGAAGAAATTTTCTAGAGCTAAAAGTTGAATCTTATGATTCTGAAAACAATATTTTATACAATTCAAGTTTCACATCTCTTAAAAAAGTGACCTGTTTTATGCAACATAACAAATTTACTTCTTATGTTTAATAAATGCCCTTTAACAAAAATGATTGCGCACCACACCACACCAAGATCATCAAACTGTGTAAGGACATAACTTGTACTTATTGGTCCCTTTCCTTTTAAAACAATCTCAAAACGAAAAATGGAGAGATAATGGTGTCAATTACGTTCGAAACTATATCGACTTGTCATTCGAATTGAATTTTCGAGAAATGGCTTTAATGTATTATTAGAAAAACGTAAAATAATTCGATTATATGACATGCCCATTTAATAGGCGACGTTTTCTTAATTTAGTGAACATCGCAAACACATAATATTTATTATCGTGTAGAGAAGAATGAAGAAAGTTGATCCTCGAGCAAATGTGAGATGACCTTGCTTTGCTTCTGACATACAATGTAACTTCAGGAGATTATTTCTCCCCATAGCATGTCATACAAAGTTTTTTTGTTTTTGGACGTAATAAAATAAATAAAATAAATTACTGGCATGGGATTTTCCCGCGTTGTATGAAAGCATCACGTAAATGTTTCGAGGCAGAAATCTAATATATTAACATTATACTTTTCTAATTTATTCCAAAAGAATGTTTGGAAACAAGATGAAATGTGTGTTTTATATATATATATATATATTTATATATTATATATATAATAATAATAATTATATATATATAATAAGACTCAAACGTTTGTTTGACAAAATACTTTCTAGTCAAATTTGATTTCAGTACGCCTCCCTTTTTTATATCTGTGTTAACTTTCTTTTTGTGAGCACTAACAACTCTTTATTTATCGTTATATATATATATATATATATATATATATAAACACATTTGATCTTGTTTCCAAACATTTTGGAATAAATTAAGGAAGAGGAAAAAATTTAGATTCTCCTCGAAACATTTACGTGGATGCTTTCATACAACGCGGGAATTGTTTATTATTGTCCATGTCCAGTAATTTATTTTTATTTATTTATTTATTTACGTCAAAAACTAAAAAAAACTGTGTATGACATGCTATGGGGAGATTATAATTTGAAGTTACGTTTATGTCCAGAAGCAAACAAGGGGTCATCTCAGCATTTGCTCGTGGATCAACTTACTTCATTCTTCTTCTACACGATAATAACTATTATTGTTGCGATGTTCACTAAATTAAGAAAACTCTCTATAAATGTCATGTCTATATAACCGAATTTATTTTACGTTTTTTCTAATAATACATTAAAGCCATTTCTCGAAAATTCAATTCAATGACAATCGATATATTCAACGTAATGTTGACACCATTATCTCTGCCAATTTCGTTTTGAGATTGTTTTAAAAGAAAGGCCAATAAGTACAATTTGTCCTTACACACGTTTTGATATTTCCTAACATTTTTGGTTAAAGGGCATTTATTAAACATAAGAAGTAAATTTGTTTATGTTGATAAACAGGTCACTTTTGTAAGAGATGTGAAACTTGAATTATAAAATATTGTTTCGAAATCATAAATTCAACCTTTTAGCTCTTAGAATTTCTTCACAAATTAAGTTTAGAGATAATAATTTTGGCAGAAGTGCCCTAATATGGTATTTTCAACATTCTTTTATAGAACATTATCCATTAGAAATGTTTTCAAATATATTTCATCAGACATTTTTTTTAATATTTTAAGGAAGTTAATTTGATTATAGCTACAACTCTACAATGGCGTTTGCAGGAGAATTCTAGCAGCAGGCAGCTCTGATCGGTAGCTTTTCGTAGTTTCTTCTATCAACACCATGCAAACGCCAGAGCAGTATCCTAAGAAACGGGCCACGGACAGCATGCAATTTGTTCTTCCCATCCTTGTCCTACCCTCACCAATTACTTACAAACACATACACTAACATTAACTACACAACCACACATGTCGGGAGCTTAGAGCTTGTCCCGGCTGGAGCGTTGCCTCGCTGGTGTTAGATTCCTGGTGGTGGAAAACCCAGTTAGGCGCCGGATCACAATCGAAGACCTCCGCCACTCCCCAAGGAAAAACATGCCCTACACTTAGAAGACTAATGACCTTAGCAGTCGACGCGCCCGGAATAACTAATTACTCAATCAAGCAATCAACAGGCCCTCGCAGTTCGATGTAGACCCTTTGGGAAACACGAAAATGGCGCTTCCTCTACTTTCTTATTTCGAGGCGGCGACGGGATGGGTTGCCAGCAGGAAGGAAGCGGGGCCAAACAGATGCGCGTCGTTACCGACAACATAGCGGTGGCGCTGCCGGACGGCCAACCGACCTCTTCGCTTCCTTTCCGGTTAAGCAGAAAAAAACAGACCATTCATGACTGTCCCGTACGTTATCTGACGGTTTTCCCCCGCGTAATTTCTTTTTGGATCGTTGTGTTAACGTTGTAAGAAAATTCTCGCCCGGCAGTCGAAGCACAGTGTGAGAGGTGGGGTGCAGCGAATTGTGCGCGAACAGTCACCGTCGCCACACCGTTTCTAATTATCCACTGTTGGCCGTCGGAAAGTTCACGATATATCTCCCCAGTTCGCCAGGTGCGTGTTGTGAATTGTGGTTTTACTGGTTGTGTCGGTGGTACTTAATAAGACGTAGTGATAATCTGTGTCCTAAGAACAATCGCGTCGCTGGAGAGGGAAAAAGTATTTTCGCATTTTGTTAAATAGTTGATTGACATATTTGAACAGTTGAATGACGAAGCCACACCCTCGCAAAGAACCCCGCTGTTCCGTCGTTGAGTACGTTTGAATGTGAATGTTTCGTTGAATGCTCGTTGCAGAGGTTAATTAGTGAGTCTCGCAGTTTCGTCAAAGAAATTCGGGAGCGGTGCCTAACCCGCCGCCTAACGACGGCTCACCCCTCTGAGAAATCACCCGGGTTCAGGGAGGTGCCTTATTCAAGAGGGTGGAGATCTTAAGGAGACTGTACAGGAGCTGCACCCGCCCCAGCTCACCGGTCGGCGGCTCACCCGCGATCAGGCAGATGCTCTGTTGATGAAGGCTACAAACTTCAAGAGACGAAAACGCCGCCTCATCCGCCTTCGTAAGACCGCTCACCTGCTGACGAATCACCCGCGATCAGGCAGATGCTCTGTTGAAGAGTGCTACGAGCTTCAAGAGACGAAAGCGCCGCCACACCCGCCTCCGTGCGACGGCTCACCCGCTGACGAATCACCCACGATCAGGCAGATGTTCTGTTGATGAGGGCTACGAACTACATGAGACGACAGCGCCGCCTCACCCGCCTCCGTACGACGGCTCACCCGCTGACTAATCACCCACGATCACGCACATGTTCTGTTAAAGAGGGCTACGAACTTCAAGAGACGACAGCGCCGCCTCACCCGCTGACGAAT